TCCCTGAGCCAGTGGAGAGATCACAAAGATCTCTCTGTGGCTGTCTCAGCCATATAGAGCGCAGCAGCACTTGCCACTTACATTACTCACATAAGAGCTGCAGTCCTCAATGCCAGGAAGCTGCGAAGGAGCGTGTTTGTACAAAAGTACAAACACGAACGCTTGTGTGTGTGTGTGTGTGTGTATTGTGGGGGTATAGCTTGAATGGGGGATCACCTTCCCTGGGAAAAACAGTCCAGGCAGCAAAGTTCTTTTTCTCTCTATATGCCGACCTATTTTTTTGTAACATTCCATTTAAATAATTTGATAAATGAATCTGGTGTCTCTTAGAGTGTACATGCACAGCAATATTACATCTGGTCTGTTGGTCATGAATGGACAAAAGTCTTCTTTCAGAAAAGTACTCTCTCTCCTGAAATATCACGCTCCACATTACCAGGAGGATTCCTACAGCAAGTCTGTAGTCAGTTCAAGCTTAGCAAGCTGCCTATGGGCTAGTCTAGCTTCTCCAGGTGACTCGGAGTCGTGAAACCTGGCTTGCAAATATTATTTTTAGCTAGGTAGCCAGCGTTGCACAGAAAAGCTTATTAGTGCTGCACTTTATTGCTTGTGCATTCGTAGCCTGAACTTCATTCACTTCAATAGTAAAAAAAGAAAACCCTCAACAACTTGACTAACTGCAGAAGAGCTTTCTGTTGCACTGAATGGAGCTGGGGTTGCTCACACCATGGGGACAAGGTGCAGAAGTGATTAAAATGTATCTAAATCCATAGGGTCCTGGGGTGACAATGCTCATTCCATGTATTGTATCTGTACATAGGGGTGTCCCGAGGCAGGGCGTCACTCGGAGCGGATAGCGGATGACACCCTGCAGTGACACCATTGCACGCGCAACGTCATGACGCACGTGCTTGATGGCGTCACACGCTCTTTCCTGCCAGCAGCCATCTTGGTGATGGATGCCGGTAGACAGAGGAGGGGACGTTTACCCGGCGGGATAAGATATGCCGCCAGGTCCCCTCCTCTCTCCTGACACTGTCGGGCTCTCAGTCCATGACCGCGTGCCCGACTTTTTAGAGGAGGTGACACCAAAACGACTGTCAGTCATTTTAGTGTCACCCCTCCAATGGTGTCACCCGGGTTCGGGCCACCACCCCTTGTATAGCCACTGCCTCCAGCTGTGATAAAACCACAAATCCCATCATGCGTCTGTCACCGGGAGTCATGCCTGTGGCTGTGAGAATCTTTCAATGCCTTCCTCTCTCCAGCAACTGTCGAGTGACTGTCAGTCATTTTGGTGTCACCTCTCCAACGGTGTCACCCGGGTGCAAGCCGCACCCCCTCTAGTGATGCCACTGTCTGTAGTGGATCCATGCATGATGACGGGGATCCATACATGAAATCCTTGTCCAGTCTTTTCGATGTTACGATGGAAGAAAAAACTGGACACATGTTAGGTCTTTAGGACATGTGTCCATTTACAGCAGAATAACCCCGATCTGTCAGAATCAGGTCCGCCAAAGCAGAACTCCACTTCCGTGTTCTTTTCCAGACCTGGGTAGAGTTGAGGGTAACCAGATGTAAATAGACGCATATCCATTTAGATCAAGCTGCCCATAGGCCAACATTGCGTTTCCGATCAGATCCACCTGAAAAACTGACGGGCGGATCTGATCGTAACGTCCGTGCAAAAGGGGTCCAAGACTGAAAATTCAAATTCATGCATGACTGGTTCTCTTTAAAACAGTGCTTTATAAAAGTGTATATTTTCATTTATATTTCTGCAGTTATATTGCTTTTCTTCTATCATCTAGAAACTGTATTAAGCTGCACTCCTTTATTCTCTCAGGGACCTGTCCCATGCATTGAGATTCAGCGCACGGACTGCAAAAGGCTTGTTGTTTCGGGGATGTTGACTTAAGGCTGCTGAAAAATGAATGGACAAAGGTCCTCTTTGAGAAAAGTAGCATCCTCCTGGGAAAAAGAGCCTCCATAAGATATGAGTGGAATGCTCACTCTGCTTAACAAGCTGCTGCCACCTACAAGACGAGCTGGTGTACCACTGAAGAAGAAGAAGCAGGTTATGTCTAAGCATTAAAAGAAAATTTTTGGTAGTTATGGGATACAGCACTTTGTATATAATGAATCATTTAGGCATCATCTCAGTGAATAAAGTCAAGTACACAAGGGCATTTCTTAAATCTTTCTTGGGAAGCACTAGTCTGATGAGGATTCCATTCAGCATCAGCACAGTGGGCTCCCAGTGCTTGCTAAAGTACATGCTAAAGCTTGCTACATGGCAGCTATGGAAAATGCCTAATAAAGCCTACTTGGGAAGCACTAGTCTGATGAGGATCCCATTCAGCATCAGCACAGTGGGCTCCTAGTGCTCGCTAAAGTACTGGCTAAAGCTTGCTACATGGCAGCTATGGAAAATGCCTATGTGGGAAGCATCAGCACAGTGGGCTCCTAGTGCTCGCTAAAGTACCTGCTAAAGCTTGCTACATGGCAGCTATAGAAAATGCCTACTAAAGCCTACTAAGTGCCCACCGATGCCTGCTAAAAGCTTTTAAAAGTTACTGGAATTGCTCTCGCCAAAATCTCAATACAGCACATTTTATGAATGATGCTCTTCAAACTTGTGTTCGCAAGAAAATATTCCCAAATGCCCATTTGTACTCATTAAAAGCCCACTTGTGCATTGTACTGTCAAAAATCTACTTCATTAGGCGCCCTAATCATTATTACACCACTGGGATGTATTCGCAATTAGATACCCTGAAGAACACCTAAAAGCAGATTACAAAAGGCAACAAAGCATTCTAATTGCTGGAGCATTGGCGACCTGGCGTCTGGCATTTGTCCAGCCCTGGTTTAGCCCAATGTTAATTATTACATACAGGGGTGGACAAATAATATGGAATTCAGAAGCCAGTCTGTCCAATCTAGGAGCCAGCTTCATTGACAACAACTAGAGAAAACCTTAAAACTTAGGCACCAGCTTTAAGGAGCATTGGCGACTTGGCTCCTGGCATTTGTCCAGCTTTGTTTAGCCCAATGTTATTTATTACTACAGGGGGGGGACAAATTAATATGGAATTCAGAAGCAAGTCTGTCCAATCTAAGAGCCAGCTCCATTGACAACAACTAGAGAAAACCTTAAAACTTAGGCACCAGCTTTAAGCAGCATTGGCGACCAGGCTCCTAGGATTTGTCCAACCCTGTAATACTGATATATAAATGACTAACTTATCAAAATTATGATAATGCTTCATTGAAGTAAGGCTTACTCCTTGCAAATGTAAAGTATAATGAACAGTGTAGCAATAAAATAACATTTCTTGGTTGGACATAAAATGGCAGAGCTTCTTTTAATAAAAAGGAAAGATACAAAAGCTGCACCTTCTAAAGAAAAAAGGGCAGATCTGGAAATGATCCCTCAATGAAATGTTCCTTATCACTTTTTTAAAAGTAACATCTTGGTTTGTTCAATCCAATGAAGAACAATGTGCAGCGTGAATAACCCACAGCAACCAACCAGCCAGCCGTTATCTTTCATTGTTCTTATTGAAGTCTGATGACATCTGATTGGTTGTTATATCATCACCGATATCTGCTCTACTTTATGAAGCCAAGCCAATAGCATATAGCCAGTAAGAAAGAATAAATCTAATTTGCTACCAACATTATTAGCTGTCAGACTTTAAGTCAATCTAGTCATCTCTGCGATTTGATATCAATATTACGTTTGGTGCTTACCAGTGAAAACTGCCAGAAGCACTACAAGAAGGATCAGGGCTGCCGAAATCTTCATTTTGACTATCCCGTCTGCTTGCCGTTTCAAAAATGAATGCCACTTAGGAAGAAATAGACCTCTTAAGGTCCCAACGTCAGCAAAAACCGTCTTCCTTTTTTTTTTCCTGGAGACTCTACGGGTCTGTAAAGGGTCGGGATACACACAGAGATGTGACCATTCAGAGAAACACATCAGCTGCAAGTAGAAGGAGGAAAGAAAAAATATAACTTTGGAGTCCTATTACTGGAGTGCAAATGATGCCGCCGGTGGTATGTCACACTGATGGTACATGTTCAAAAACAAAAACTAAATGGGACATAAGATGGTCGGGTTTCCAGGGTGGAACAACGCTGCTGTAAGAAACATGGGGGTGATTTAAACAAATAATAATAGGAATATTAATAAATAATATCCATATAATTTATCAACGTCCAATTCTTCCTGTTCGAGAGGAGGAGGTCAGCTAAGAAATACACAGATAAACCGTGGGTTTAAAACGATCTATTGTACAAAGAATATAAACATGCCCAGCTTTATAGATAAAGAATATATTACAATGATGACAATGTAATGGGGGGTTCTGCACTGACCACCAATGTAAGGGGGGATTCTACACTGACCCCCAATGTAATGGGGGATTCTGCCCTGACCACCAATGTAAGGGGGGGTTCTTCACTGACCACCAATGTACTGGGGGATTCTACACTGACCCCCAATGTAATGGGGGATTCTGCCCTGACCACCAATGTAAGGGGGGGTTCTTCACTGACCACCAATGTACTGGGGGATTCTACACTGACCCCCAATGTAATGGGGGATTCTGCCCTGACCACCAATGTAAGGGGGGGTTCTTCACTGACCACCAATGTACTGGGGGATTCTACACTGACCCCCAATGTAATGGGGGATTCTGCCCTGACCACCAATGTAAGGGGGGGTTCTTCACTGACCACCAATGTACTGGGGGATTCTACACTGACCCCCAATGTAATGGGGGATTCTGCCCTGACCACCAATGTAAGGGGGGGTTCTTCACTGACCACCAATGTACTGGGGGATTCTACACTGACCCCCAATGTAATGGGGGATTCTGCCCTGACCACCAATGTAAGGGGGGGTTCTTCACTGACCACCAATGTACTGGGGGATTCTACACTGACCCCCAATGTAATGGGGGATTCTGCCCTGACCACCAATGTAAGGGGGGGTTCTTCACTGACCACCAATGTACTGGGGGATTCTACACTGACCCCCAATGTAATGGGGGATTCTGCCCTGACCACCAATGTAAGGGGGGGTTCTTCACTGACCACCAATGTACTGGGGGATTCTACACTGACCCCCAATGTAATGGGGGATTCTGCCCTGACCACCAATGTAAGGGGGGGTTCTTCACTGACCACCAATGTACTGGGGGATTCTACACTGACCCCCAATGTAATGGGGGATTCTGCCCTGACCACCAATGTAAGGGGGGGTTCTTCACTGACCACCAATGTACTGGGGGATTCTACACTGACCCCCAATGTAATGGGGGATTCTGCCCTGACCACCAATGTAAGGGGGGGTTCTTCACTGACCACCAATGTACTGGGGGATTCTACACTGACCCCCAATGTAATGGGGGATTCTGCCCTGACCACCAATGTAAGGGGGGGTTCTTCACTGACCACCAATGTACTGGGGGATTCTACACTGACCCCCAATGTAATGGGGGATTCTGCCCTGACCACCAATGTAAGGGGGGGTTCTTCACTGACCACCAATGTACTGGGGGATTCTACACTGACCCCCAATGTAATGGGGGATTCTGCCCTGACCACCAATGTAAGGGGGGGTTCTTCACTGACCACCAATGTACTGGGGGATTCTACACTGACCCCCAATGTAATGGGGGATTCTGCCCTGACCACCAATGTAAGGGGGGGTTCTTCACTGACCACCAATGTACTGGGGGATTCTACACTGACCCCCAATGTAATGGGGGATTCTGCCCTGACCACCAATGTAAGGGGGGGTTCTTCACTGACCACCAATGTACTGGGGGATTCTACACTGACCCCCAATGTAATGGGGGATTCTGCCCTGACCACCAATGTAAGGGGGGGTTCTTCACTGACCACCAATGTACTGGGGGATTCTACACTGACCCCCAATGTAATGGGGGATTCTGCCCTGACCACCAATGTAAGGGGGGGTTCTTCACTGACCACCAATGTACTGGGGGATTCTACACTGACCCCCAATGTAATGGGGGATTCTGCCCTGACCACCAATGTAAGGGGGGGTTCTTCACTGACCACCAATGTACTGGGGGATTCTACACTGACCCCCAATGTAATGGGGGATTCTGCCCTGACCACCAATGTAAGGGGGGGTTCTTCACTGACCACCAATGTACTGGGGGATTCTACACTGACCCCCAATGTAATGGGGGATTCTGCCCTGACCACCAATGTAAGGGGGGGTTCTTCACTGACCACCAATGTACTGGGGGATTCTACACTGACCCCCAATGTAATGGGGGATTCTGCCCTGACCACCAATGTAAGGGGGGGTTCTTCACTGACCACCAATGTACTGGGGGATTCTACACTGACCCCCAATGTAATGGGGGATTCTGCCCTGACCACCAATGTAAGGGGGGGTTCTTCACTGACCACCAATGTACTGGGGGATTCTACACTGACCCCCAATGTAATGGGGGATTCTGCCCTGACCACCAATGTAAGGGGGGGTTCTTCACTGACCACCAATGTACTGGGGGATTCTACACTGACCCCCAATGTAATGGGGGATTCTGCCCTGACCACCAATGTAAGGGGGGGTTCTTCACTGACCACCAATGTACTGGGGGATTCTACACTGACCCCCAATGTAATGGGGGATTCTGCCCTGACCACCAATGTAAGGGGGGGTTCTTCACTGACCACCAATGTACTGGGGGATTCTACACTGACCCCCAATGTAATGGGGGATTCTGCCCTGACCACCAATGTAAGGGGGGGTTCTTCACTGACCACCAATGTACTGGGGGATTCTACACTGACCCCCAATGTAATGGGGGATTCTGCCCTGACCACCAATGTAAGGGGGGGTTCTTCACTGACCACCAATGTACTGGGGGATTCTACACTGACCCCCAATGTAATGGGGGATTCTGCCCTGACCACCAATGTAAGGGGGGGTTCTTCACTGACCACCAATGTACTGGGGGATTCTACACTGACCCCCAATGTAATGGGGGATTCTGCCCTGACCACCAATGTAAGGGGGGGTTCTTCACTGACCACCAATGTACTGGGGGATTCTACACTGACCCCCAATGTAATGGGGGATTCTGCCCTGACCACCAATGTAAGGGGGGGTTCTTCACTGACCACCAATGTACTGGGGGATTCTACACTGACCCCCAATGTAATGGGGGATTCTGCCCTGACCACCAATGTAAGGGGGGGTTCTTCACTGACCACCAATGTACTGGGGGATTCTACACTGACCCCCAATGTAATGGGGGATTCTGCACTGACTACCAATGTAATGGAGATTCTGCACTGACTACCAATGTAATGGGGGGTTCTGCACTGACTACCAATGTAATGGGGGATTCTACACTGACCACCAATGTAAGGGGGGATTCTACGCTGACCACCAATGTAATGGGGGATTCTACACAGACCACCAATGTAAGGGGGGATTCTACACTGACCACCAATGTAAGGGGGGACAAAATGGAACGTAGGTTATTGTTGTACAGAGGGCATTAGAGGTGCATGTGGGGGGCGGGGGGATATCACTGGTAAGCTAGCAGCCCAGGCTGACACTCATTCTCAATGCTGCTTTGGAAGTACTTACCTCCTCCTGAGTCCTATGTTGTCTTTTCCTGGTCTGAGCAGGGAACCTGCACCATCTGCATTTCTACTGAATGAGCCAGAACGATCCGTAATGCACAGTACCGCAACACCGTGCATTGCGTTTTGGCTAAATGCATTCACTTTTTTTTTAACTGCACTGCAATGCACCCTATTGCGGTACCTTGAATTGCAGCGCGGTCAAGCGCATTGCGGCTGAAGATGCGCTTGGGGTGCCATGCAAATGAATGGCAAGCAAATTAATGGCAACCTTGGGGTGCCATGCAAATGAATGGCAAGCCATTCACACACTGTAGTTGCGTTGTGTGGTAACATGTGTTAATCGCACAGAACCGTGTGATTAACACAATGCTATGCTGTGAATGCAGCCTGAGAGGCAGCCAGAGGATATCAATGAGCTGTGTGCAGAGGCCAGCTGCACTGTTCCCGGGATGAAGCCTGGGACTCAGGATGGGAGGGACTGGGGCGCAAAAGAGCGGACTATCCTGACAAATCCGGAACAGTTTGCAGCTTTGACGTATGTGTGACAGGATGACAACGCAGGAGCACAAATGGGAGACAGTTGTCACCCCATAACAGGAAGGAAGTGCCTTAGTAAAGAAGATCCTAAATTAACTTTCTGCACAGTGCTATATGCCGTTACCTATTTCTACCAAAGGTGACTGAGTGAGGCAGCGGCAGCGTGGTTGGATGTCTAGAGGATGTGCAGTACACAAATGCAGCCAGCAGAGGGCGAACACCCATTCGCCCCTTCAAGGAGGATGCTGCGGTGACGTCATTATCGCTGCGTCCTCCGGTCGCCTTGGTTACGGAGCTGTCAGTGGGATGCGTCGGCGACGGAGGAGGACATGGAGGGGACCAGTCTGGCAGTGTGGACGGTGTTCGCGGTGCTGGTGCCGGTGCTGATCACGCTGTGGTGCAGTTTACGGAGGTCCGGCCGGAGGAGTCTGTCCCGGGCGGGGAAACACGCCTGGCAGGAGACCGATCTGTTCGGGCGGCCGACCTACTGCTCGTTGTGCGGCCTGCACATCCTCCAGGGAGGGTACTGCCTGTGCTGCGGCCTGTGCGCCGACCACCCGTGTGTGGCGAAGGCCAGCCGGCGCTTCCCGTGTAAAGATGTGCTGGGGAGGAGCGAGGCGGCCTGGAGCCACCACTGGGTGCGGGGGAACCTACCGCTGTGCAGCCAGTGTGTCCGCTGCGGCCTACAGTGTGGGAGCCAGCCTAAACTGTGCGACTACAGGTAAGTACAACATTGTATATACGTTCATCACTGCCCAACATTGTATGTACCTTCATCACTGCCCAACATTGTATGTACCTTCATCACTGCCCAACATTGTATGTACCTTCATCACTGCCTAACATTGTATGTACCTTCATCACTGCCCAACATTGTATGTACTTTCATCACTACCCAACATTGTATGTACTTTCATCACTGCCCAACATTGTATGTACCTTCATCACTGCCTAACATTGTATGTACCTTCATCACTGCCCAACATTGTATGTACTTTCTTCACTGCCCAACATTGTATGTACCTTCATCACTACCCAACATTGTATGTACTTTCATCACTACCCAACATTGTATATACGTTCATCACTGCCCAACATTGTATGTACCTTCATCACTGCCCAACATTGTATGTACCTTCATCACTACCCAACATTGTATGTACCTTCATCACTGCCCAACATTGTATGTACCTTCATCACTGCCTAACATTGTATGTACCTTCATCACTGCCCAACATTGTATGTACTTTCTTCACTGCCCAACATTGTATGTACCTTCATCACTGACCAACATTGTATGTACTTTCTTCACTGCCCAACATTGTATGTACCTTCATCACTGCCCAACATTGTATGTACCTTCATCACTGCCCAACATTGTATGTACCTTCATCACTGCCCAACATTGTATGTACCTTCATCACTGCCCAACATTGTATGTACCTTCATCACTGCCCAACATTGTATGTACCTTCATCACTGCCCAACATTGTATGTACCTTCATCACTGCCCAACATTGTATGTACTTTCTTCACTGCCCAACATTGTATGTACCTTCATCACTGACCAACATTGTATGTACATAATGTGCTGGGAATGCACGTCTCTATACGTGTACTTTATGTGCGGAAGAAGCACGTCACTCTATACGTGTACATAATGTGCTGGAGATGCACGTCACTCTATACATGTACATAATGTGCTGGAGATGCACGTCACTCTATACATGTACATAATGTGCGGGAGGTGTACGTCAGTCTATACATGTACATAATGTGCGGGAGGTGCACAGCAGTGTATAAATGTACATAATGTGCGGGAGGTGTACGTCAGTCTATACATGTACATAATGTGCGGGAGGAGCACGTCACTCTATACATGTACATAATGTGCGGGAGGTGCACGTCACTCTATACATGTACATAATGTGCGGGAGGTGCACGTCACTCTATACATGTACATAATGTGCGGGAGGTGCACGTCACTCTATACATGTACATAATGTGCGGGAGGTGCGCCTCACTCTATACATGTACATAATGTGCGGGAGGTGCACCTCACTCTATACATGTACATAATGTGCGGGAGGTGCACGTCACTCTATACATGTACATAATGTGCGGGAGGTGCACGTCACTCTATACATGTACATGTACATAATGTGCGGGAGGTGTACGTCAGTCTATACATGTACATAATGTGCGGGAGGTGTACGTCAGTCTATACATGTACATAATGTGCGGGAGGTGCACGTCACTCTATACATGTACATAATGTGCGGGAGGTGCACGTCACTCTATAAATGTACATAATGTGCAGGAGGTGCACGTCACTCTATACATGTACATAATGTGCGGGAGGTGCACGTCACTCTATAAATGTACATAATGTGCAGGAGCTGTACGTCACTCTATAAATGTACGAGTTGCAGAATGGGGTTGTATCTGCAGTTAGGATTGTTTTCACCAGCATTGTAGATTCCATTCCAGTAAATAGTATAATATCCTCGTATTTTGCTTCCGCTAATAGATGTATCTGGTGTCAGAGAACCATCCATGATGACTGCATACAAAAAGACTTGAAGAGCGCAGACTGTGACCTCGGGGAGTTCCGAAACCTCATCATCCCACCCAGCTATCTCCTGGCTGTGAAGCAGATGAACGAGAGCAACAGTACAGACAATGAGAAGGTGCTGCTAATGTCCTTTGTATTCATTGCTTGAAGGTAGGGATGCAGCGATACTTGTATCAGTGCCGATACCGAGTATTTGTGTGAGTACTCGCCCAAATGCTCCGATGACTAGCCTGATGCCCGAGCTTCCGGTTTCAGGACGGGTATCTAGTGAGTCGCTGCCCGGCTTTCTGATTGGCCGGGAAGCCGGCTCCATGCTCCCTCGTCACCTGGTGAAGAGCGAGCATGTAGCCAGCTTCCCGACCAATCAGGAAGCCAGGCGCCATGAAAATTCCTGATCGGTCGAGAAGCCAACTCCATGCTCCTTCGTCACCAAGGAATCAGGAAGCCAGGTGGTGAGTCATTAAACGCCGCCTGGCTATCTTAATGGGGCTTCTGGTATCAGTATTCGGTATCGGCGAGTTCCGGGGAAAAAAAATATCGGTACTCGATGTGACTGACCGCCTGGTACCCCGACTGGGTCAGAAATCAGCTTCCTCTCCGCTGGAACCTGAATTCCAGTGTCCTCAGCCCAAACCTGCCTAATTATTGGACAGAACCAATATCTTAGGACAGAACGCTAAACTCCTCAAACATCAGACAACACCAATGTTGAGGTGGAAACCAAAACTGCTTTATTGAAGAAAGCACACAGAGTTTATACCTCACAGAATCGGATAGGAGTGCAGTGTGTCCCCTCCCCCAGACAGCCAGGTGCCGCATTGGAAGTCTTTTTAACACAGACACTCTTTGAACTTAATGAATGCCCTTAATTAGATCATCCCAAACAATGTCCCCTCCAGACAGCCTGCTGCCTATACTGAACACAGTGGTGTGTGTCTGTAATGTCAGGGGAAACATGCAGTATACCCACTCCACACATATCCTAGGAGAATGGTTCCATGTAACCCCAAGAGGTCTCCATAGTTCTGGGTCCATAGTCCGTAGGAAGGAGGCTAGCCCTCAGGCTCCTCCAGCAGCCCCAGTGACGGTTCAATCCATCACACTCGATACCAAAAAACACGGTATCAGTGCATCCCTACCTGAAGGTTATTAAATGTTTAGAACTATACTATGAGGGCCGCTTCACTCCATTAACAGTGTTTTCCAGAGCGGTCAGCTGCTGAAACGCATTGTATCGCATCCTGGCCGGCTTCCTGCCTTCGGGGGCGTGGCGGTGCATTGAAGTCAAAGGCCACGCCTGCAGTGCGATCGCCCCCACCAGAACGTGTGGCACATCAGTGCTTGCTTTCCGGTCCAGTGCGATCTGAAAAAAAATAGTGCTTGCAACATTTTTACAAATCGCACTGAACCGGAATGCAGGCACTGATGTGCCACACGTTCTGGTGGGGGGCGATCGCACTGCAGGCGTGGCCTTTGACTTCAATGCACCGCCCCTGCACGCAGGAAGCCGGGATGCGATACAGTGCGTTCCATCAGCTGACCGCTCTGGAACACAGTGTTTATGGTGTGAACCTGCCCGGAGAGATTTACTAAAGGATAACATGGAAAATCCTGTTTTGAGGTGGATATCGGATTATTTATCATAAGTCATGTTCATGGTATGCTCCAGTTATTATGAACGAGCCATGTTTATATCTCAGGTAGGTTATTGGCATCTGAGCTATAAAACACCTACAGGGTTACTCGCAAAGCTGCCGAAGGCAGCCGAGTGAATAACCCACCCGAAGTGAAGTGAGCCGAACAACAACGTAGATCGGCTGCACTTCGGTCAGCCGAACATTTTGTTCGGCTGAGCCAAAGTGCAGAAGGAGTTCGACTCGGCCGATCCAACATCTGGATCGGCTGAGCCGAAGCTCTGGCAGCTCACTCGCTGCCGTTCTCCCTTATTCTCATAGGGGCCGTCACGGCCTGCTCAGCCCAGTTGTCATTGTTTATTGACAGTTCAGTGTCCCCAGGTCACCTAGGGACGCTGACCTGTCATTGCAACTGGGCGGAGCCAGCCGTGAGATCATGGCTGGCTCCGCCCAGCTGTCATTTGCGAGGTGTTCGGCCATATGCCTTCGGCTCGGCCGCTGTACGGGCTATTGTGAATAGCCCATTCAGCAGCCCTTTGGTTCGAATTTACAACCGATCTGGCTAGCTTTGTGAATAGAATAGAACCCGTAGTATTCTGGATTTTCTGGTAGGTAATGCTTAAATGATCATTTAGGGGATATTTATTTATTAGAGAAATTGATATAGCGCCATCAATTTACACAGCGCACATTTCCATCAGTCCCTGGCCTCAAGGAGCTTACAATCTAAGGTCCCTATCTCACATGCACACAGAGCCAATTTACCTCCCAGCGGGTCTTTGGAGTGTGGGGAGATGACAGAGTACCCGAAGGAAACCCACACAAGCACAGGGAAAATCTACAAACTCCATGCAGATAGTGCCCTGACCAGGATATGAACCGGGGACCTCCAGTGCTGCAAAGCAGAAGTGCTAACCACTAAGCCATTGTGCTGCCCACAGAAAAGGAAACACATTTTTATTTCCCACACACTTTCATGTACCTGGATAGCTTTGAAAATAACCTTTTGCAAGCGGCCATAGCTCAGTGTCTTTTTATCTCTGCTCCTGAATTGTTTTTGTTTTTATTGTTTACTTGTATTCTCTCCCTCCCAGAGCAGAAGTATCAGGCTGTAAGGTTGTCGTATCTCCTGCCCGAGCGCATTGCTGATAATGGACACACAGAGCATACAACAAAGGTGCTGTTGGGATGAAGTGGAAGCAAACTGAACTCTTTGGTATTTGACAGTTTTAATCCCTACCCAGACAACGTGTCCATTATCGGTACCGGGGTCAGGCAGAAGGCAGGAGAGCCTCCATGATGACCTTGCAGTCTGATAGGAGGCCGATGTTTCTGCTCAGACAAGGAGAAAACACTAGTAAATATTAGTACACATACCAGTTACTCAGAGGTAAGGCTGCACTATAAGGCTGTGTTCACACCTAGGCGTATCAAATATGCGCGTCACGAATTCGCGGTTAAAAAAATGCGTGACAAGCGTGCGTTTTCGAGGGCTACTTGGCTGTATCCCAATCGAAACGCGCGACAAAAACGCCGCAAAGAAGCTCATGTACCTTTTCAGGCGTAGGCCGTTTTGTAGCGCGTTCAGATGGGCTGAAATATGGCAATGTGTGAATCATACTCATAGAAAACAATGGGATTTTCATGTTTGATCGTTTTGTAGAGCGTTCGTAGAGCGTTGAACGCGCTACAAAACGTGCAGGTGTGAACCAGGCCTAATGCCAACTTTATGGAAGCCCTAAAATGAACTTCTTATAGTTGCTCCCTTTTGGTCTATTAAAAGAGAACTATGGGGTAAGTGTTTTTCCCCATAGTTCTCTTAAAAGTCACGGGAGGACATAAACTAGCGTCCTCCAGTGACCCAAAGCTCAGTATATCACGAGTTTTTGCCCACTGTATACTGAGAGCGCCGCAGCCGGGACGGATGCCGACAATGCTGTTGAGATCCACCCAGCTGCATGAGTGACAGCTGGCTCTGCCTATCTAAAGTGCCCACCCACCTCCCCGTCCGTTCCTCCAGTCAGCGCTGGAGGATGGGAGGGGGGAATCCCTGCTGGGAGCGTTGACTGTCACTGCTCTCTGCAGGGAGATGATTGAGAAGTGGGTGAGCACTGGTATGTGTTCTCTCACTTCCCGATCTATGGAGCCAACGTGTGACAGTTTCATTGTCACATGGCGGCTCGAACTGTAAGGATGAGTGATATTCACTCGCCTCATAATTCTCCTTTTTAAATATACCATTGAACATGCATACAAATACCTTTTTGATCCTGCCAGAAATCCTTAGCAAAGCAGAGTACACTGGGCAGCAATCTTAAGCAATGTTCTCTTCCTGCCCAGGTTACCTCTTTGAACTCCAGAACACCTCTCCCTTATGTTATAGAAATGAGGAGAGGGGGAGGTATTGTGTAATGCTAACACTCCCTGTGCTAGGGTGACAACATTCACTCACTGTACTGTATTTACATAGGAGCAGCATTGTCACCCTAGGCTGCTCGCTTCTGATTGGAACTACAGAACACCTACCCTGTATGTTATAGCGATGAGGAAAGGGGGAGGTGGAAATAAAGCCTGTGCAGCCACCATATCTAGGGGCTGGTAAGCTGCAATATATTGCATTGTGTCTTCTAGGTTTAGATACATTTTAAGAGTGGAGAGTCAGATTATTACAAATGCCCATTGCTGACGGGCCTTTTGTAAGGTATATGCATGCCTACTTTTATTGTAACCCCACCGTCTTCTCTTGTAGTTGTTGTCTTCACTGGGAAAAGACTGGACTCCTCTGATAGTTCTTGCTAACACCCGCAGTGGGAACAATATGGGCGAAGTTTTGGTTGGAGAATTTAAAGGTCTTCTGAATCCTTTCCAGGTGAGGATATTGTCAAGATTAAAGTGTACCTGTCATGTGCTTATAGAAAGGGGAGAAACACAGCAGCGGTATAGCAAATACTGTGCATTGCTACATATTAGCTTTACAATGCTATCCCGCCAGCCCTATGCGCCGCTGGAGTCCTTTTAAATATCTTATGCAAATAGCATACACAGCACTGACCCACAGGGAAGTATTCCAACTTGACAAGAGGTTTCTCATACACTGAGCATTGCATTGTGGGATGGTAGAGGTCTGTACACATTTGCCCCATACCTGGAAGTTCTGATGTTTTAAGGATTAACATTAGCCTGGGAATGTTTTATGTGCCTCTGGTTCCCCTTTAAAACCTTTTACCACAATTTTTTTTTATTTTAGGTGTTTGATTTGAGCAAGACATCTCCATTCGAAGCGCTTCAACTCTGTGCACTTCTTCCTCCTAACTCTGCCAAAGTGCTGGTTTGCGGTGGAGATGGCACTGTTGGTTGGGTCCTTGATGCTGTGGATGAGATGAAGATAAAGGTAAGAAAAAAAAAAAAAACTTATCTGTTACTTTTGCTGTATTTGGAAGGCTGGGTATATGTCAGTGGTGTATTCTGGTTTGGGGCTGCCCTAGGCACCATAGACCCCCACAGAGCCCACCACAGATCCTGCACAGTCCACCCGAGACTCTCAGGTGGGCTATGCAGAATCCATGCTGGGCTCGGCAGGGTCCCTTTTAGCAGCAAAAAGGATCACACCATCCTAAGGTGTGATCATCTTACCTGCTGCTTGGTCCCCGGCCTCCTCCACCGCTGGACTGGTGCTGCAGGACCTGGCCTCCTCCGCAGCCCGAAGGCTCTTCTGTGACCCGGCTTCCTACGGTGCGGCGGCGGCATGGCCCCGCCCCTTCCTGATCTGACCTCGCCCCGCCCCCTCCTGCTGCTCCACCTCGCACCCTCCTGCTGCTCCGACTCCTCTGCCTCCTCGCCGCTTCCTATGCCTCCTCACCGACCCCATCCTTTGACTTCTCCGCCCCGCCTCTTCCGCCCGGCTGCCTAATTGTTTTGGGGGCGGGATTTTTGCCACACCCCCACCCCCCTGAAAACTGCCGCCCAAGGCAAACGCTTTGTTTGTTTTTGGAGGGTCTTCACCTCCTGCAACCATATTAAATTTCTGAGGAATTGTCTGAACTTAGAAATGCTTTTGGTGCCCTATTCCCTGTCCATTATTTGCAATACTTTTGTTCTACAAAGAATAGTTTGTTTGTTTTCTCAGGATCTAGTACGGTTTCTGAGGATGCAAGCTTTGTTTTTTGCTTTTTTTTAACCTGAGCTTCAGTGATTTTTTTTTTCTGGTGTCCAAACTTGTATATCAGTTTTAATAGATTGACTCTTCAGCTCTTCAACTTTAAAACTGTTTGTCTCTTTTCAGGGTCAAGAAAGTTTTGTGCCTCAAGTCGCAGTGTTACCTCTAGGAACTGGCAATGATCTGGGTAATACTTTAGGATGGGGGCCGGGATATGCCGGAGAAGTGCCTGTAGAGCAGATACTTCGCAATGTTATGGAGGCCGACAGCATTAAGCTTGACAGGTGAGCAGGAACATAGCACTAGTCAAGGCTGTGTGAGTGTTGACCCGTACATTGGGTTCAGCTCCAATCCTAGATAAAAGGGATTTTCTGCTATACCTGTAGGTTTGGCTTAAAGTTAAAGGTGCCACTTTCTGCAGGATTCAGGTTTTTACCCATTTGTCCAGGATAGACCATGAAAAATGGAGGCTCTTCTCACTAGCACAGCAATCGCATCAACACAGAATGTTAAATGTCTACTGAGAAAATGATCAGTTTTTCTTTCTTATGTAGACACGGCAGGTCCAGGAATCATTTTCCGGGAGGAGAGTGGTCTATCTTTCCTGGGCAGTTTCACAGCCCCCTGATAAGGGAATCTATATTAGTAGGGACAGTGCTGGTTCTAGCATCCCTTCAGTATCTGGAGAGAATCAGCACTGATGGTGACTTACCTGCTCCAGTTGGTCTGGGCTGTAGTAGTGGGTGTCTTCCTCCACGGAATGTCCGGGTACCTCCTGTGTAGCAGGTGGGGAGAAATGGTTGCTGGTGTTCCTCTGGTTTGGTGGTAGTGGGAATTTTTTATTTGCCTTGATGGGAGTCACTTTACTATTGCTGAAGCCTGTAGTTACAAGGTCACAGTGGTGCAGGGGGGGAATAAGTGGGCCGGGAGTTACTTCCATTCAGTTCCACCAGCACTGGCCAGCATTTGTTTTTTCTGCATGTTGGTGGGCCGGCAGCTTAATCACAGCAGTTTCACTTCCATGTTTATTTTAGGGATGCACCGATTTTATTATCGGTATCTGTGCCGATGCCGAGTATTTGGGTGAGTACTCGTACTCGCCCAAATGCTCCGATGCCTAGTCCGATACTTCTTGTATCAGGAAGCCGGGCAGCGAGTCATTACACACATGACGAGGGAGCATGGAGCCGACTTCCCGGCCAATAAGGAAGCCAGGCAGTGTGTAATGACTCACTGCCCGGCTTCCTGATTGGTCGGGAAGCTGGGCAATCAGGAAGCCAGGCGCCTTGTAATGACGCGGCGCCCGGCTTTCTGATTGGCCGGGAAGTCAGCTTCATGCTCCCTTGTCGCCTCATGACGAGGGAACAGGGAGCCGGCTTTCCGGCCAATCGGGAAGACCTAGTGACGAGACGCATGGAGACGGCTTCCCTGCTAATTGGGAAACCCGGTGGCGAGTCTTTACACCCCGCTTGGCTTCCCGCCTAATCAAGAAGCCAAGTGGCGGGTCATTACACGCTGCGTGGCTTCCGTAATGAGACTTTCGGTATTTGGTATCGGCAAGTACCAAAAAAATAAATATATATATATA